GAGGTGCAGCAGGGTGCTGGGGGGTACAGTGGGGTGCAGTAGGGGATGTTCAGTGTTTCTGTTCAGGGGTGCAGCGGGGTGTGATGGGTTGTTCAGTGTGTCTGGGCAGGGGTTCAGTGGAGACTGTTCAGTATATCCATGCAAGGGTGCGGTGGGGTGTGATAGGTAGTGTTCAGCGTGTCCATGCAGGGGTGCAGTGAGATGCAGTGTGGGGTGTTCGGCATGTTGATGTTGGGGTGCAGTGATGTGGGGAGGGGTGTTCGTTGTGTCAGTGTTGGGGTGCAGTGGGATGCAGCGAGGGCTATTCAATGTATCCATGCAGGGGTGCAGTGGGGTGTGGTGGAGGCTGTTCAGGGTGTCTGTGTTGGGGTGCAGTGGGGAGTGGTGTGGGGTGTTGAGTGTGTCAGTGCTGGGGTGCAGTGGGGTGTGGCGGTGGGTGTTCGGCGTGTCCATGTCGGGGTGCAGTGGGGTGCAGCGGGGGGTGTTCAGCGTGTCCGTGACTCAAGCACCACGCGGCACCACATCCCTGCGTGCTCACCGTCACCATGGCAACCGCCAGGCAATCAGCAATAATTGCGCACGTCGGCCCGGCAACAGGGCCAAATAAACCCCATCTCTCCTTTCGGGGGGCCGGCGGGGGGCTAGAGGGGGAGAAAAAGAAGGGGTGCACCTGCCAATCATCACCCCTGGCCCTCAGTTGGGATCAGCAGCAGGGGGGGGTTGCATGGTGGCAGGGCCACCCTCCCCGTAAGTGTCCCGTGGTACCCATGTGCCCTGGAAGGCGTCGAGGGACACAGCCAGTGAGCCGCCCAGCCCAGCCCCAGGTGTGGGGGAGCCTCAGCAGTGACCCCCAGCTCGGCCACCAGACCCCCACAGTGGCACAGCTCCTCCAGCCTGTCCCAGCTGGTGACCACGCCATGAGTGTGGACAGGGCTGCTCCCCACCTGGCTGGGCACCATGGAGCATGGCTGCTTGTCCCCAGCCACCTGCTCCTGGTGTGGCCCATCCCTGTGTTGATGACAGCACACAAAGCCTTGTGTGCTGTCCACTGGCTTGGCTCCCATCACATCAGGGCTGGCTCCTAGTCCCTGGAGCCCTGATGTGGGAAGGGGGCTTGGTCTCCATAGTGTCCTCCTGCATCACAGTGATGATGTGGCATTGGGGTTTGGTTCTCTTTCCCACTGGAAGAGCTTTGAGGGTCCCCTGCCTCTCTGTGTGGTAGTACCTGCAGCCATAGGGACCAGGGGACAGGGAGGCTGCTCAGGGAGAGAAATGTCTCCAGGGGAGAGAACTGGCTCCCAGGGACAGGGCCAGGATCAGGACTGGGACTGTGATGTGGCTGGCACAGGTCCTGACCAGGCTCTGAGATGGGATGAGCCTCCCCATCTAAGGGTGGGTGTTGTCTTCTGGGCAGAGAAAGAAGAAAAAGACGTGCCTTATAGCCTGGAAGGACTTCAGGGGTAAACAAAAGCTTCCTGGTGGCCAGTAGATCTCCCCAGGGGCCAACAGAGATTCCCAAGGGCCAGCAGAAATCCCCGGGGATCTCCAAAGCTCCCCAAGCACCACTAAAGCTCTCCAGGGGCCATCAGAGCTCCCTGAGGGCCATTAGAGCCACGGGTGGATGCAGGGGTGCCCTGAGCACTGCAGGCGCCCCCAGTGACAAGCTCCAGAACCAGGCGGGGAGGGCGGAGGGACAGGGCCGGCTGCCGGGGTGTGGGCAGCAGGGGCCGGGGGTGCCGGGGTGCGGGCGGCCCCCCTCGCTGGCTCACACGGCATCATTAGGGCAAAAAACTCGCCGGTTTCCTAAAAATGGCAAACGTCGGTGCCCGCGGCGGCTGCTCTCACGCCCGCTCCCCCACCAGCGCCAGCCGCTAAAAACAGCTCGGCGCTGCCTGCTGCCTCCTGTCACCTCTCGCCGGGACGGCTGGCACCGGAGACCACCGCTACACCCAAACGCTGATTTAGCACAATTTTGCCCATCTCCAGTCCGGCCCCTACGCCGTGGCACCCGCTGCCTGCGCCCACTTCTCCATGAGGAGCCCAGACTCGCTGCTGGCCCGAGGTGCCATTGCGGCAGCACCGGCAAAACGCCGTCGCAGCGCATCCCCGGGCGATGCCAGTGGCGGGACCGTGCCCGGCTCTGCTTGTGCACCCGCAGCCCCGCGTGCGGCCACTCATGTTTTATAGATGGCTCTGATTTTAATAATTAATCCCTGCTAACGACAGCACTTTCCCCAAATAAAACATTTAAAGTGCTGTGTGTGCAGGGCGCGTTGCCGGGGTGGGACGCCGGATGCTCTGCTGCAGCCGTGGCGGGTGGGGACAGCACGAGGTTGTGTGGCACAGCATGGCACAGCGTGGAATGGCCTGGCACATGCCCACAGCTCGGCCCAGTGCTCCACCAACCATGGCCAGGCATGCAGCACCTTAGGTGCCACCCACCCAGTGCCCACCTGTGGGTGCACAGGCAGCACGCTCAAGACACCCCCACCAACTGGGGCAGGAGTGCCAGGTGCCATGCAAGGTGCCGCCCTGCGAGGTCACCTGCCTGTCCCTGCTGCCATGGCAGTGGGCACAGCACCGGTGCCAGTCCTGACCAGCAGCATCGAGCAGGGGTGGGCAGGGGTGGGCACATGCCAGCCCTTGGCATGGAAGTCTGGGCGCCTATTCCTCACCTCCCGCAGCGTAATTAGGGCAGGATAAATGTGGATTAGCATGAAATCTGTCATCTCTGCAAGCACATTTGCAGGGGGGATGGGGGCAGCCTGAAGCAGGAGCCGCCCTCACGCACGTCACCGTAACCACGCCAGACTCATCAGCTAACGAGCAGTTCCCTGTGCCACTCCACTGCCAGCTCTGACAGCCCTGCTCCCACCAGCTACCCCTGCAGCTGCCCACTGTGTCATGGGCAGGGGGCCTGGCACATATCTTCCACCCCGTCACATCCCTGGGTACCCACCATGCTTCGTGCTGAGGAGAGCAGCACCCAGGGCACCTGTCTGTCCATCCGTTCACCTGCCCCTTCATCCATCTGTTTGTCCGTCCATCCATCCATCCATCCATCCATCCATCCATCCATCCATCCATCCATCAACTCACCCATCCATTTGTCTCTCTGTCCATCCGTCCACCCATCCATCCATGCTTCTATCCATCCCTGGATTCCTGCGTCCCATCAGCTGTCAGTGCCCTAGCCAGCTGCCCCTGCTGCCCCCCAGGCACTCAGCATCCCCCAGTATCAGTGCCAGCACCACCCAGCACCTGCATTTATGATCCAGCTCTAATAACCAGGTGGTGCCAGGGCCTTCCCATTGCCACAGTAACTCAGCAGCAGAGCTGGAATGGCACTGCTTGACCTCACATGGGCAAGGTCAGCACCCACACTGGGGGTCATGGTCACACCAAAACCCAGGCCCGTGGAGCAGTGCAGCCACACTACAGGGAAACTGAGGCACGGTGCTGGCAGCCGCCCCAACTGTGGGATGCTGGGACACAGCTGCACTAAAAATACCCTCCGGTGCGCGGCGGCGGAGCCAGGCAGGTGCGAGGCACCAGTGGAGATGGACAGCTTGGCTGATGGGAGCTGATGCGGCCCCGGGCTCCGGCACCGCTTAATGAGCAGCCGAGGAGGTTTTATTTACAGCCAGTGTTGGTGGCAGGACCTGCGTGGCTGGCCATGGAGTGGGAATGGTGCTGCCCACGGCCACAGACTGGGCATGTTTCAGCATCCCCTGCCCGTCCATCCCTCCCTAGACCCTGCCCTCGCCCCCTGCCTTGAGCTCTGGACCTGCACCCAAGGGAGTGATGTCCACCACTGCCCCACTTCTCTTTTCCACTGTCTTCTTGTAGGGGATTTTTGCCCCAAAATTGTGGCAGAGAGGATCTCCTCACGAGGACGAGCTCCTCACAGATGTGACGTCTGTCACCACCACCAGCAAAAGGAGCAGAGAGAGCCAGCTCATCAGGCAGTGATCCACGGGGAGTTCAGCTGCTCTCCCCCTCTCTGGACAGCCCCTGGGCATGCTCTGGAGCACCAGCTACACCATCCCCTGCATGGGCAGTGATGAAGCAATAAAGGTGTTGTTAAATGAGGGTGGTAATGATTCTTGGTCACTAGACAGTAGCCCCAAGCTCGGAGCAGTGTGTGCCACGGGGACCCTGTGCAGGCCGTCAGGGTGGGGAGCAGTAGGTGGGCTGGGTGCCACTGTGTCTGCACTGTGATCACCTGTCCTGGCCACCATGGTCCCATGGGCACCTCAATGCCAGGAACACCGTAATCCCATGATCCCAAGAACACCCTGATCCAATGTCCAGGCACCCATCATCTCAGGAGCGTTGTGTTTCCATGGGCACTACAGTCCCATGCTCCATGGCATCCATCATACCGTGATCCCAGGGGCACCGTGACCCATGTGCCAGGTAGTTGCACCCCAGGGACATCATCACCCCATGTCCAGGAGCACAGTGCTCCCCACACTGCCTCACACCCCACAGCCACACTGACCATGAGCTGAATGTGGCTGGGAAGGGGACTTTTAGGAAAAACCTCCCAGACAGCCCAAGCTCAGGGGGCCATGGTGGGACACAGGGCACACAGGGGAGCCCTGGCATGGTGGGCACGGGGGGACAGTGTTGGGGTGGCCACGCCAGCACTGGTGTGCAGGTGCCCTCCCGTGGCTGGCACAGGAACGGTGGGTGGACCCTCACCTGCACCCCCTGCGAGGTGGGTGCCCCCAGAGGTTGGTGGTAGGACCATCCCCTCCCCGGGCAGGGGGAAAAGGGTGCTGCCCACCTGGGCATGGCCCCTTCAAAGACACAGCCCCAGCCAGGGAAAAAATATAATTATGTTTTAATGAGTGATTTGAGCAGCCAACAGGCTGAAAATGCCATGGGAGCCCTGGGAGGGCCAGGCCACCCCACAGCACCCGGCGGGGCTCCACTTGGGCCTCCACGGCACCTGCTACTGTGGGGCTGAGCCCCAAATCCCACAGCACAGCCTCATCACTGTGGGGCTGAGTCCCCCCACACCCAGCCAGCTCAGGACTGAGGCCCCCAGCACCTCATGGCATGGGACCAACTGTGGGGAGCACCCAGCAGGGTCTGGGCGTGAGCCATGGGAGAGCATCCCACAGCATCCATCTGCCTCCCAGCACCCATCCCATAGGGAAGGTGCCCCATAGCATCCAGCTGCATGCTGCATCCCTCCTCAGGGGAGTGTGTCCATGGTGTCTGGGGGTCCAGGAGTCCCTCCAGTGCAGGGCATCCCATCAGCACATGGATGCATTCTCCTCCTCTTCCTCCTCCTCCTCATTATCCCTGTCCTCATTTTCGCTATCAGGCAGCTGCCCCGGTGGGGCAGGAGGAAAGGGGGGGCCCCAATCCAGGCTGGTGTAGGTGACAGCCAGGTTGACGTAGTGCTCACCCTCCAGTGTGGCCAGGACACGCTCCAGCTCTCCCACCAGCCCCGTGAAGGACGGTCTCTCCTCGGGCGCTGGTGCCCAGCAGCTCAGCATCACTCGGTACCTGCCCCGACACCCCAGTCAATGCTGGCAGCCCCCCGGGACAACCCTCACCATCCTGCCCACCCCCAGCCCCACTCACAGCGTGTCAGGGCAGTGGGAGGGCTGTGGCAGGCGTCTCCCCTGCAGCAGGTAGCGGGCCATGTCGTAGGGGTCCACCTCGGGGTACGGCGATGCCCCTCGTGTCAGCAGCTCCCACATGAGCACGCCAAAGGACCACTGCCGAGCAGAGAGCTGCTGTTGAGATGCGGGCGGGATGGGGATGGGGGACAGGGAAAGGCATTGTGCCTACCACATCTGATTTGGTGGTGAATTTTTGGGTCTGGAGGCTCTCCAGTGCCATCCACTTGACGGGCAGCTTGGCGTGCCGGTGCTGCCGGATGCTGTAGTATTCCTTGCCAAACACATCCCGTGCCAGCCCAAAGTCAGCCACCTTCACCGTCAGCGTCTCGTCCAGCCTGGGGGACACCGAGTTGAGCTGGGGACCCCTGGGCACATCCAGACGCACGGGGTGACCCCG